TGTCAAAGTTCAATGTCATTGGCTACTATCTGCACAATGGCATAGTGTGTGTGCACAAGGGTCAGGTACTGCAGTTCAAGATTCTTACCTTCGGACTAGCATCAGCAACACATGGGTTGTGCCAAATTGTACATGTTTTTTCTCTTCACCCCCATTCCCTAGTTCTATGCACACACAATTCTGTGGATGACTGGTTACTGCTGGCACCATCTTGTCAATTGTCAGAATGTTACACCTGGATTCTACTTTTAGGCCAAGGCAGGCCTCATTCTCAGAGCTGAGACATTATTCTTGCTCCAACAATATATATTGTCTGTCTGGGTATTTTTTCATTATATATCTCGGTCAGGCTCAGCCGACTCCCATCTGGTTCTATGCTGTGGAACAGGAAGTCTGACTCTTACTCACCTTTCCTTCTCCCACTGCACATACGTTGTTTTTTTCTCTTTTGGGAATGTGGGTATCACTCTAATCCTTCATGCCTTTGGGATGAGTGCACAAGAGATCCCTTCAATGGTCGTTGTGTGAACAATAGACCATAAACATTGATTCACTGGATTCCCCAATTTCCTTATTCAGGATCATTCTCTTCGATCTCAAGGGTTTTTTAGATTGGGAAAATACTAAGATATGGGTTCCTCTGCCGTCACCTCGTCCAGAGATTTATCTCTTCACGAATGCCTTGCTTCAGGGATGAGATGCATATACCAACAGTCAGTAATTCCAGGGTCTACACACAGATGATGAGGCTTCCCTACACATAGTGTTTTAGACCTTTTTACTCTTTAAAAGGTGATGCCTCATGATCTGGGCTTAATATGGGGAAAATCATCAGGCTTCACCCTGACAATTCCATGGTGGTGTCTTACATTTCCTGACAAAGGGGCACTTGGTCCAGGGCTCTTTGTTTTTGAAAATTGGATCTCCTTTTTCAGGACCACTTCTATTATATCATCCTACTAGCTTGCCATGTTCCATGGGTGATGACTTTGGTGGAAAAATCAATTGTCTCAACCTAAACAGATTCTCCCAATAGAGTAGATGCTGCATTGTGAGGTTTTCTGTTGGATTGGCTCTCATTTTGAAACTGAGGATTGGTGGGTTGGCCATTCATCGGAACACCCAACTACTGGCAATTTGGTCTCTAGTACCTCACCCTCTGGCTTTGGCAGTGGATGCATTCCATCAGGATGGGACAGTATTACAACTCAAGGCCTTCCTTCCAATTCATATATTACCCAAGGTACTAACTATGATTTGTTCCAACCCATTTTTGGTTCCTGTTGATAGTACTGGATTGGCAGCTACACCTTGGTTTCTACTTTTGTGGTACCTTCAGGAGTGCCCACCTCTTCCACTTCATTTTTGGCCATCTCTGTGGAGGCAGCCATGATCTGACATGGTATACCTGTTTGAGTCCCCAGTACTCTCCAACTCCCAAATGACCATTCCAGTTACTTAACTGGTATATTAAAGTGGAATTACGTACCATTTCTCAACACTTGTTTGAGACCTTAGCCTCATGTGCCATGTATCACCTTTCCCTGAAAGTTTATTTCTCATTGCTGCTTACCTACAGATGTCGTTGGTTGGAATGGTTTGCACTGATTGTGGATAGGATGCTTTATCATTCTAGTTATGTCCCCAAACCAGTTCTTCTTCCCTAAGACACTGGCAGCCATGGAAGGGAATAAATCCTTTTCACCGATTCATCTGATCACTATTTCTCACTTCTTTGACCAATCAGATTTCAATTGTTTGTTATTTTCAGTGAAGGTCTTCAAGGATTTGTTGCTTGCACTAATGCATTTAGAGATGCTAGACAATGACTTTTTATTCATTAGGATCATTTAGTTTCCCAAGATTTATCCCAGGTTACATTGATGAGGTGGGTATGAAATTGATCCATATTGCTTATTCTGGGCTCTATTTGAAGGTGAGGAAACTTCTGCAAGTCATATCTAATCAGATTTGTCCCATTTCTATGTCCTTAGCCAGCTGGAAGACATTATGCAGGCTGGTATGTGGACCTCCCCCAATACTTTTATCTCACATTATTTGCATGATCTGGTAGTATCTTCATCTGAGGGTTTTTGACTACTCCCTGTAGCTATCTTAACCACTTCTGCAAGATAATACAGAGGGGTGAGTATTTTCATTGCTATACTTGTCTCTTCTTACCTCTTCAGGGCCCCTTACCCCATTTTCACAGGATCTCACTCTGTGGCAAGTGTTGCTCAGACAGGTGGACTTTTATCAAACCAATTCCACACTAGCAACCACTAATTCAGTATACTTTAACTAGGTTGCAACAGGTTCTGTAAGGATGAGGTGTTCCATAAAACCACCTAGAGGCTGCCGTGGTGGTATTACTGTACTGCCACTTGTGGACTATCATGAGTAAAGCATAAGGGGATCCTGCTTGTCCCTGCTGATCATTGAATGGAATATATCAGGATTGGTTTTGCTTTCAAAAATCTAGGGAACTTGATTCACCTATTGCATTAATCCCCCTTCCCCATTTTACTAGTGTAACTAGGGTGTCCTAACCACACTCGTTCCCAATTACTAGGATGGTGTACAGAGGCTATACCTCCTGTGTATTAGAGTGAATTTCCTCCACTCTTGGAGAAGAAAGTGAAGTTGTGGGCCATCCTACCCAGGTCCCTGGATGTTTTCCTCAGATTTTTGTAGGAGAGGCACCAGCCTATCGGGGAGCTTACTAGTAATACCAGTTCAGATTTGATTCTAGGCTATCAAGTTGGGTTTAGCATGGTTCTTCTTTTTGATCAATATTGGTTCAGTATATTGTTCATGGAAGAGGGTTCATTGTCTCCTCGTAATTCCAAATGAGCACAATTTGTTCCATATCCTCCCCATAATTCCGTAGACAAGAAGAATTTACATTGCCACTCAGTTGTGGAGTGAAGATGGGTGTTCATAATTTCTGATCGAATTAGTTCAGTTTCCTTAGGTTGACTAGAGCATACAAGATCTCATCATCTGAGCCTGGGGTGTTGTCTTTCAGACTTCTTCAGGTTGAGGAGAAGGTTGTCCACTTCGATGTTGCTTACTTTCTTGTCATGATTTTGGTGGCTCGGAATGCATCACTCTATGGCTGCAGGTTGGGATCCACTCATAAGTGTGTGTGTGTGTGTGTATATATATACATGTGTATGTTGTGGTCCAATTTCCCTAGCCACCAATGTAGGATATAGGACCATTGCCCTATAATTCCTACACCAAGCAGTGGAACCTCAGCTATCTGGTTGGGGCCTGGCCAATGGTGATGATAATCATGTAAAATTCCACCCATAGTATTTGAATTAAGTTCTTCGTGAAAAGCATACTTGTTCTGGATGTAATGCTGTTCCCCAGCTAGGGTGCCAATCTTCTATTGACATATGATCTATGCAGATGCTTTCTGTATGGATAATGCCCTCACCTGCTCCTCCACCTTATAAATGTGGAGGTAAGTGTGTTTTGGAAGATAACATTTTCTTAAATCGAAAATATATTTCCAATAATAGCTACATTCTCACACACACTCTCCTGTCCTTCCTCCCTCACTAAGAGCTGGAGTTAGATACTGCAGATTGAGTCAGTGTCAGAAAGTGAAAACATTATCTGAATGAGGTGTTTATATACAGTACTAGAATATAGGGTGCACTGACGTAGGTGGAGAGTGTCATGAGATATATATTGCAAGGACAATTAAGTGGAGTATAAAAGACTGGAGCAGGTGAGAAAAAATGAGAACAACGCTTATATGGGCAAAGGAAGAAACCCTGGCAGTTGAGTAATAGCTGTAGTGTGAGAGGGGTAAGTACTATTGGAAATACATTTTTGACTTAAGAAAGTGTTAAATTCCAAAACCTTTTTGTCAGAATTTTGCTGGACATCTGTGGCTACTCAGGGATTGAAATATTACATTCCCAAGGAATTTAACTTTGCTTCAGGAAATTCATTTTTCTTAGTTTGCTTTCCCAATCAGGAATGCATGGTCCATCCACATTTCTTTAGTTATGACCAATGATAGTGAACATATTGCATGGATTAAGTAAAAATAATTTATGAGGAAATGCAACTTTATATGAGGGAATGTAATCTTCCTGATAGCATTCCCTGAACTGAATTTTATTTCATTATTTCTGTTCGTGCTACTCAATGAGGAACTCATTTGTTTGGCATTATTTAATTCAGCTGTACCTACAGAAACAAAAACAAGCAATGGTAAAGACATTAAATGAGAAGGAAGGTATGGATGAACCTCCAAAATGCATCCAGCTCAATATCGGGAAGTTTGAGAACATTTCAATTGCAGATCTTGTCACAAAGAACACAACAGACTTCTTCAAGTGCCTCAAATTCCTTCTGGGTTATGAACCTGAGTCATGAGAGCTTGGAAAGTACTACAAGGAACACTACAGACATTTCAACACTTGAATGAGGTAAATGACAATGCTGAAAGTGAGGCTCTTATAGAGGAGTATAATACCGTCATAAAGAAAGAAGAATGGAAACAATTTCTCTTTCAAGTTGTGCACGATCATAGAAGACACTTTCTGCAAAAAGGAAACAATAACAATGCAAAAGTGACTAAACAACACTAAAATCATATAATTATGTAATTATACTATAGTGAATGTATTAAAATAATGTGATACTTTAAATGATTTATAACACATAACACATGTTTTGTACCACAGTACATATGATACCAGGCAACCTCTAAATATGGTCCAAAATATATGAAGTTTAACATTTAATGTTTTTTTGCACATTAGAATTTTTAGCCTGAAATTTTACCTGCAAATAAGGACCACCCTACTATGCTGTGTGTGTGTGTGTGTGTCTATGTATATAAACACACACACATTTGTAGAATGCAGTAGCATTATTTTTAAATTGTTATAACAACTTTTACACACTTTTTCTTGCTTGTAGTATACTGTTATATAACGTCTCCTCACAATTAGTATTTGAATCTTATTTCACAGGTTCGAGAAGATGTTCTTGCAGCCTTACACAATAACTTCTTGCTCACATTGAATCAGGCGTGGAATGATCACCAAACTAGCATGGTAATGATCAGGGACATACTTATGTACATGGTAAGCCTATAATATTTTCAATCATATTGTAGTAACTAAAGTGTTGTTTTTTTTGTCATATTAAAAGGAAATTTCATCTTTTATTGATTCAAAATTTTTTATCATGGCTCAAGTTTGGGCATTATTTAATGTCAAGGGCTTTGTATTTGCTAAATGTTTTTTTGGTTATTAGTTGTTGCCTTGACACTTAATGGTTGAGATCTTTGAATAGTTTATTTGATAATTTAGTTTAAGTAAATAACACTATAAAACTAAAAATTGTTTACTGAATATATTTTTTAAATATATGACTTAATTAGAACAGTGTAATAATTAAAAACAATTTCTTAACTATTATCACATTGGCTGTGTTAAAGTGTGCATGTCATGACTTTTCACATTCAAAATTTAATTAAACTTTATTTCCAGTATAAGTCAATAAACTTGGCATGAAAAGTTAGTTTATAATTCAAACTTTTATATTATCTAAGTCAGGTCTTGACAAATATCTTCAGATCTAGGAGCAAGCCCAAAATTTTAGGAGCCAGGGTCGACATAAAAAAGTTATGGAATATATTTTTGAGTCGGTTGTGTGGTTATAGTACGAGACATACAGTTTTACACTAAAATACAAAGGTTTCATTATTATACTTTATCATATAACAAATATTAAAGTTAAATTTCAATATGTACAAGTATTAAAATAGTAGAATAAATAACTATAACTTAGGTGAATTCTCGCAATGAATGAAAGTAAAATATAAATAATCACTGTAATATTGATAGGCCAAGCAGGTTGTGTCAAAATAGGTCTAATCACTAAAATAAGCGAAGGATTTTTGGTGTGCTTAATCTGACTTCACTATTGTTTGTACCGGGAAATGGGGACTATATTTATTTACTTTCACAGCAATGAATGCATGCTAACAATCATATGATATGAACAACTAGTTGATACTATTGCCTGAGGTAACTGTCTTTGGTCCTGTCAGAGTTTAAACATGTGCACTATTTGGTTGAATTGATAGAAAGAATAAAAACAAAATTGTGCAAAATTAGTAATGTGTTGTGTAACCGCAGTGCTTCGTTCCTGAAAAAATATGTAGAAGTGCTGAATCCACCATTAAAATCCTAGAAACAAAATTTGATTTGGGACTCAAAGAATGTGAAAATAGTCCTGGACTTCCAAGAGTCCAGAACTGTTCTAGATTCAAGTTCTTTTTAGCACTTTGCTGTGTGCAAATAAAATGGGAGAAGTACAAGGTACCATGATTATATTTTTTGTTGCCATGGCGACCTGGCACCCAGGATTTGTCAAGGCGTGATCTAAGATTTAATTTCTTAAAAAAAATATATAAAAAATTCTTTATCTTCACTTGATGTGTCTATTCTCTGAATTCTCCCCTTATTTTATATCTTGAATAATACATCTTCTACAGTGTTCAACCAATTAGAAACACAAACTATACATATTACAAGCAAGTTTGTCAATCATATCAGAGAACCCCTCCCATCTATATTTTTCAAGGTAATTGTATAATCACTTGCACACGTTTATAACCAATAGAAAAAGTAGATTTTCCTTTATGTTAATCTTGTGACTTCTTTCATTTTTTAGCAGAAAGTCATTGTCAGTGGAATTTGTAGCTTTTGGTTGTACCTAATCTAATGCACAGATCTTTTTTTTAAGTTATTTATAGCTAATTTAGAAAGCTGGATAAATTATAATTGTTTTGGGACATTTCATATTAGTAACTGATATGTTTTTTGCATGCTAAAATGCATATTTGAAAGCTATATGAGTTTTTATTTCAACAACCAACTTAGTGAAAAATATTGAAGACTAGCACTGTTATGCCTGCGAGTGCAGAGATCATACAGACTATGCCCTCTGCTTTTTGTGTTTATAAGCTAATGGGCTCCACTGTGATTTATAAGAATTAGCTAATGGGCTCCACTGTGATTTATTGGTTTTCATGGAGGGATAAGCTGCTTCCTTGATACGAAGTTAAACAATAAAACCATAAAGTTAAAAGAAAATGTGAAAAGGTTAACAGTTGAAAATGTGAAGATAAATAATTTGAAACTCTTGAGACAACTATGCATTCAAAGAAGTAAAAAAGATATTCAACTTATTTCACATTTTAAGCTTTTCATTTCACTGTACATTGATGATTTCTGTATAGTTAGCATTAGGGTAGAAGAGAGATACAAGAGATGTAAGAGATACAATATAAAGTTTTACCAGAACAAAACTTTGAGTATTAGTTTAGGAGGTTATGCATATATGAAAATAAGGAATACATGTTGTTTGAATCCATATTTTCCCTATCTTTACCAATGTTGCTCAAGAAAGGGTCATTTTAAATTTCTAAGATTATTCCTTCAAAGCAAGATTATAAAATGGTCACTGTACCTTTTGATAACTTGTGTTTTGCTGCAGTGTGTTGACCATATGTCTTGTGAGTAGGAAGATAAAACATTTCCAAGATTTTGTTTTTGAATCATCAAAAAGATATCTCAACCAAGGTTTTGAATAGATACCGCTTAGTTCTTGCTTTCACACTTTGGTACTTTACAATACCTGGATATGTTACTTAATTAGAAACCATAATGTTGGTTGAGATTTGGTCTGCCCTAGTCCATTGTCCTTCCTTGTTATCTAACCAGATCGCCACCAAATATACTGCAGATAAATTTTTCCTGCTTTTCACCTGTTCAAAAATTGTGGTAATAAATACTTCAGTTACTTCTGTGCTTCTGTAATCTGACATTTATATATTTTTTTGATTCCACAATGATTCGTGAAAGTGTTTTCTGCTTATTTGAAACTATTCATGCAGTCAAGCTGCTTTTAAGTATTGGACATACTTTTGCTGTCTATATATATCCTAGCTTTTGCCAGTATATACATGTCTTTAGATATAGGATTACTAAAAAGTATTTGATTAAAAACAAAAAAGATATGTATTTCATATGCCATAACTACTTACTTCTTGCATCATTCTTCTTCGCTTTTGTTGCACAAAATGGTGGAATAAATGTGGATCAAGTGTCTTTTTGAGCCCTGGTGAATGTGAAAATATCTTGGAAAGCTTGATACAATGTGATTGTATTGTGTATGGTGTTGCACAGTTAGTGGAATTTGCTAATTGATTACATTCAACCTATAAATTATTGTTATAAGATGGCTTAAAAAACACAAAAAACATTAATTGAATATTGTCATGAGATGGCCAAAAAAAAAGGTACTTATAATGCTAAAAATCAGGTTTCAATACCTACCATTGGCAGAGTGTAAATAGCCTATTGTGTAGCTTTTGTGCTTAATGTAATAGCAATATTCCAGTTTACTTAAATATTTGGAATAATAAAAAATGGTTATATTCAGAATCCTTAACATTGATTATTTTTGTGAATTGTGACACTAATTGATAAAGCTGAATAAACTTGATAGAAAATAATATTGTTGCGTATCTGCTCGTTTGTTAATTTCCGGTATAAATTCTT